CAACATCTGCCACATTGCTTCCCTATCCACTCTATCATATGCCTTTTCTAAATCCATAAATGCAATAAAAACTTCCCTACCTTTATCTAAATACTGCTCACATATTTGCTTCAATGTAAACACTTAATCTACACATCCTCTACCCACTCTAAAACCTCCTTGTTCATCCGCAATTCTACATTCTGTCTTGCCTCTAATTCTTTCAATAATAACCCTACCGTACACTTTTCCTGGTATACTCAGTAAACTTATTCCTCTATAATTTTTACAATCTCTTTTGTCCCCCTTCCCTTTATATAAAGGGACTATACACGCTCTCTGCCAATCCCTAGGTACCTTCTCCTCTTTCATACACTTATTAAACAAAAATACCAACCACTCCAACACTATATCCCCCCCCCCCCTGCTTTTAACATTTCTGTCATGATCCCGTCAGTTCCAGCTGCTTTACCCCCTTTCATTCTATGTAATGCCTCACACACCTCCCCCACACTCACATCCAACTCTTCTTCACTCCTAAAAGATGATATACCTCCCTGGCCAGTGCATGAAATTACCACCTCCCTTTCTTCGTTGACATTTAAAAGTTCCTCAAAATATTCCTGCCATCTACCCAAAACCTCCATCTCCCCATCTACTAACTCCCCTTCTCTGTTTTTAACTGATAAATCCATTTGTTCCCTAGGCTTTCTTAACTTGTTTAACTCACTCCAAAATTTTTTCTTATTTTCATTAACCCTTTGACTGTCGCGGCCGTATATATACGTTTTACGAGGTGCCGTGTTTGACGTATATATACTCATAAATTCTAGCGGCTTCAAATCAAGCAGGAGAAAGCTGGTAGGCCCACATGTGAGAGAATGGGTCTGTGTGGTCAGTGTGCACCATATAAAAAAAATCCTGGAGCACGCAGTGCATAATGAGAAAAAAAAAAACTCCGACCGTTTTTTTTAATTAAAATGCCGACTTTGTGGTCTATTTTCGTATAGTATTTATGGTTGTATTCTCGTTTTCTTGGTCTCATTTGATAGAATGGAAAACATATTATAGAAATAGAGTGATTTTGATTGATTTTACTATAAAAAGAACCTAGAAATGGAGCTCAAAGTAGGGGAAATGTTTGATTTTTGCCAATGTTCAAAAGTAAACAAATGATGCCATTGTCCAATAAATGTCCAACTAGCCATTCTAATATGCAGTCATGAATGGGTTGATGTTATTTATACAGTTATTACAGCATTGCAGTAGTCTGCATAATAGTAAGTCTAATATTTTTTGTTTGAATAAAAATTAAAAATAGAAAGCAAGAGTAATATCAGAAGGGCCTGGAGACGTGACTGATGAACAAAGAAAATGTTATTTTAGAGCCAGGAATGTCTGCATTGTTCATTCTGGACCTTATTTTGAAATTGTCATATTTTTTAGTTTTTGTGAAATTGGCCAAATTGCAAATTTCTGACCACATTATTAAGTAGTTGAAATCAGTAAATGGGCAGTTTCTTGTATTCAATCGATAGAAAAAATGAAGTTCTAAAGAAATAGCTATGAGTTTGGGCGACTGGAACAATGGAATTAGCCGAAAATAGGGCTCAAAGTGGGCGAAATCGCCGATTTGTAAACAGCGCAGAGGTCGCTAACTTCGCGAGAGCATAATTCCGTCAGTTTTCCATCAAATTTCGTTTTTTTGGTGTCATTACAATCGGGAAAAGATTCTCTATCATTTCATAAGAAAAAATAATTTTTTTTTTTTTTAAATTTTGCGACACCAGGAGACACCTCAGGATTGGGGGTTGCGACAGTCAAAGGGTTAAAATTCCTTGACAGTACCTCTTCCACTATCATCCGCTCTCCTTTTGCACTCTCTCACCACTCTTCACCTTTCTTTTACTCTCCATATACTCTGCTCTTCTTATAACACTTCTGCTTTGTAAATACCTCTCATAAGCTACCTTTTTCTCTTATCACACCCTTTACTTCATCATTCCACCAATCACTCTTTCCTCATGCACCCACCCTCCTATAACCACAAACTTCTGCCCCACATTCTAATACTGCATTTTTAAAACTATTCCAACCCTCTTCAACCCCCCCCCCCACTACTCATACCTGCACCAGCCCACCTTTCTGCCAATAGTTGCTTATATTTCACCCCGAACTCCCTCCTACCTTAGTTTATACACTTTCACCTCCCTCTTACTTGTTGTTGCCATTTTCCTCTTATCCCGTCTACCTCTTACTTTAACTGTAGCTACAACTAGATAATGATCCGATATATCAGTTGCCCCTCTATAAAAGTGTACATCCTGGAGCCTACCCATCAACCTTTTATCCACCAATACATAATCTAACAAACTAAATAACAAAAAAAGGCACAATACCGTGACTGGAACGATACACAAATAACCCGCACATAAAAGAGAAGCTTACGACGACGTTTCGGTCCGACTTGGACCAGTAAATGGTCCAAGTCGGACCGAAACGTCGTCGTAAGCTTCTCCCTTTTATGTGCGGGTTATTTGTGGATCTAACAAACTGCTTTCATTACATGCTACATCATACCTTGTATATTTATTTATCCTCTTTTTCATAAAATATGTATTACTTATTACCAAACCTCTTTCTACACATAGCTCAATTAAAGGCTCCCCATTTTCATTTACCCCTGGCACCCCAAATTTACCGACAACTCCTCCACATTTTTTCCCACTTTAGCATTAAAATCCCCAACCACCATTACTCTCACACTTGGTTCAAAACTCCCCACGCAATTACTCAACATTTCCCAAAATCTCTCTCTCTCTCCTCTATACTTCTCTCTTCCCCAGGTGCATAAATACTTACTATAACCCACTTCTCACATCCAACCTTTATTTTACTCCACATAATCCTTGAATTAATACATTTATAGCCCCTCTTTTCCTGCCATAGCTTATCCTTCAACATTATTGCTACTCCTTTAGCTCTAACTATTAGAAACCCCTGACCTAATCCCATTTATTCCTCTCCACTGAAACTCACCCACCCCCTTCAGCTTTGTTTCACTTAAAGCCAGGATATCCAGCTTCTCATTCATAACATCCACAATCATCTTTCTTATCATTCGCACAACATCCACGCACATTCAAACTTCCCACTTTGACAATTTTCTTCTTCTTATTCTTTTTAGTAATTTTTACAGGAAAAGCAGTTACTAGCCCATTGTTCCTGGCATTTTAGTCGACTCTTACAACACGCATGGCTTACGGAGGAAAAATTCTTATTCCACTTCCCCATGGATATAAAAGGAAAAGTAATTAGAACAAGAACTAAGATAAAATCAAAGAAAACTCAGATGAGTATGTATAAATAAAAATGTACATGTATGTGCAAGAATGGTATATAATACCGACAAGATGAAATTAAGACACATGTGCAACATCTGGGTATCTTTATTGTAGACATTTCGCCATCCAGTGGCTTTATCAATACAAATTCTAGGACATAACTTGAAGACAGTAGGACTATATACAGAAGATGAGGTAATCAGTCCCTCAACCTAGGAGTAGGTGCGAAGAGCACCGTAGTCTCGGAGATTCTGAAGCAGAAGGAAGGAGCCTGGCGCTTATATAGTAACGTCAGGTGTAGCAGACGAGGGCATAGTCACTGGTAGGCGGGATTCCCCAGTGGAAGTAGGTCCCTCCCAAATAGATGGGTTAGTTGTAGTAGTAGTTGCCGTAGCCGTGAAGGTTATGTACATGTCCTCAGAATCAAGATTCCATGATGTTGCAGTGTCTGACAAGTTGTGCAAGAATGGTATATAATACCGACAAGATGAAATTAAGACACATGTGCAACATCTGGGTATCTTTATTGTAGACGTTACACGACACTTACCTTTATTGAAGATCTGGTGATGATTGATGGGTGGGAGGAGGGGAGAGTGTGGATGGTGTTAGTGTTTAGAAGGGGAATCCCCTTCCATTGGGACTTAAGGTAGCAAGCCCTTTTCCGGGGTTACTTCCTTTCTTCTTTTAATGCCACTAGGACCAGCTTGAGTCACTGGACCTCTGCCGCACAACAAATCTGTCCATAGAGCTCTGTACCTCCCGTTCCTTTACGATTTGTCTAAAATGGGCCACAACATTGTCATTGTAATAGTCATCAGCACAGCTTGCAATAGCTGTGTTAGGGTGATTTTCATCCATAAAGGTTTGCAGTTCAACCCACTGTGCACACATTTCCTTAATTTTTGAAGTAGGCACAATGGATTCCACAACTGGCATAGGCTTCTCAGGGTTAGCCCCAAACCCTTCAAAATCTTTAATTTCCATACTAATTCTCACACTTTTTACCACAGTGTTGGCACTAGAAGCTTTCTTGGGGCCCATGGTGACTTATTTTGCAGAAACAAGCACCAAAAACAGTGATAATATGGAATGCACCGAATGTATCCTTAGATGCGCGCACACTGGCTGGCTTGTAAACACTGGCACACACAGGGCAGTTCAGGCCACACGTGGACACGTCTCGTACGAATTGTATCGAATACCGAGTTTTCAATCGGATACCGAGGCAAAATTTTTGCGTTAAAATGCATCAAATACCGGATTTATCGAATACCGATGCCATCGAATACCGGGAGTCCACTGTACAATGCCTGCACTTTAAAGGAGGGGTTTGGGATATTGGCAATTTGGAGGGATATGTTACACATCTTTATAGATGCTTCTAAACTGTGGTATCTGGGCTCCTTTGCAAAGACAATGATTATGTATGAGTGAGGTAAAAGTATTGAATGATGACAGTATTTTCTTTTTGGGGATCTTCTTTCTTTTTGGGTCACCCTGCCTTGGTGGGAGACAGCCAACTTGTTGGGGGGGAGGGGGGGGAAACCTGTATGAAAACATATGTTCTGTAGATAAAAATAGAGATTACATTAAAACAAAAAAGCTTGTAAGAACAAAAATTGTTAAGAGCTGTCAGAGAAATAATAAAATGGCAAACTTGTACACAACACTAACCTGGGTTCCAGATACATGAAGCTTTGGAGAAATTCCTTTCCCAGCCCATCCCCATGCAGTAAAGTTGATGAATGGTTTATGAATAACTCCAATTACTGCATGACCTTTCAGTGCCACACACACCATTGTTGTCACATACTCTCTCAAGTTTTCTGAGGAAAGAAATTTTATTTTACGGTAAAACCCTGCAAGTCATTACATGTGCATTGGAATGCTTTGGTCAGTAGCAGCAATGTCTTTTGAGACTGATTTTTCCAGATTTACTCAATCGTCTGCTAACAGTTTGTGGGTCCCTGAGAAGTGTGAGGTGGGAAAAAAAGTAGGTTCGAGCCGAGGAAGAGGAGAGCAATTCCAATTTCTTGAATCAAAAGTCCTTCACCTACATCACAGCTTGCTTAGGAAGAAGGAAGGCAGGGACAGAGCCAATGCACCAGTCAAAATATAAACACAAAGATAAAAAATTTAATTTCATACACAGTAATACACAAATACTAATACGTACTGTAAGGGTCATTTCCCAAAGGGCTGGAAGGAAGGGGGTGATGGAGGTTTTCAGTGCCAGGGGCTCGAGTATCCAGCAGGTTTATGAGAGATTGGAATGAGTGGAGAGAGGTGATTTTTTATGGTTTGATGTGTTGCTGGAGTGTGAGCAAGGTAACATTTATGAAGGGATTCAGGTGAACGGGTTAGCCAGATTTCAGTCTTGGAGGTTCAAAGTACAGTGCTTGCACCTTGAAGGAAGGGTGGAGATTTTGCAGTTCAGAGGGTCATTTGACATGCGATGCCTGGGCAATTCTTTTAAAACAGCTATTAAATGTATGAAGGTGACTTCTTTATTTTTAGGAGAAGAAGGGGAGGGGTCATCCCATCTTGATTTTTTTTGAGGGGGGGGGGGGTTCACCCTACTTTGGTGGGAGATGGCTGTGTCGAAAAAAAAAAAAATGCTGAACAAGTGTATTTCATACACAGCATCTCATTTTAAGAAACTATTGAGAAACTGAGAAAAAAATGACGTGGGGAGAATTTTTTTTTTTTAGTAATTTTAGCATACATACAGAGGTACAAAAAAAAAATACAGGTAAGAGCAGCATGCCAAAGCCACTTATATGCATAGCATTACGGGCTGGCTTAAAATTAAAAAAAAAAAAGTTATAAAACATTATTGTAAACAGATAACTATAAAGCACAAATGAGTATTACAAAGACAGGTCATATGGTTGCATGCTTTGCTGTACATTCAGTCGAATGGAGTATTCTGTTAGGTAGTGTATTTAAAAAAATAAAGTTAGATTGGGTCCTAGGTTTAACATTTGTGTGATATAATTGTGAGTAACATTTAGGATATACAATTTATAAGGTTCAGTTATTCAGTATTTATTTGGTTTTGAGTGAGTAAGTGATCTTTGCGAAGAGACTTGAATTTATAAACAGGTAGTGTTTCTTTTATATTTACAGGTAATGAATTCCAGATTTTAGGGCCTTTTATGTGCATTGAGTTTTTGCATAGCGTAAGATGGACACGAGGAACATCAACGAGTGATCTGTGCCTTGTGTTATGGTCATGTGTTCTGTTGAGGTTGGCAAGGAGATGTTTGAGGGGAGGGTTAATATCAGAGTTAAGTGTTCTATGTATGTAATAGGTGCAGTAATAAGTATGGATGTTTTGTATGGTGAGTAGGTTGAGTGTTTTGAATATTGGTGGAGTGTGCTGCCTGTAGTGAGAATTTGTTATCATTCTAACTGCAGCCTTTTGTTGGGTAATTAGTGGTCTGAGATGGTTAATTGTTGTTGAGCCCCATGCACAAATTCCATAGGTGAGATAGGGATAAATAAGAGAGTGATAAAGGGCCAGGAGGGCTGACTGTGGAACATAGTACCGTATCTTCGATAGTATGCCTACAGTCTTGGAAATTTTCTTAGAAATTTGTTGTATATGTGTATGAAATTTGAGTCTATTATCAAGGTGGATTCCTAAGAATTTTCCCTCTGTTAGCTTTGTGATAGGTGATCTGTTTATCGTTATGTTAAGAGGTACATCTGAAGCTCTGTTTCCAAACTGAATGAAGTAGGTTTTGTCAATGTTTAGTGTAAGTTTGTTAGTCCTCATCCAGGTAGATATTTTCTGTAATTCGGTGTTTACAGTATTGGCTTGCGTGACTGAGCTTGGGTGAGAGAAGACGTATGTAGTGTCATCTGCAAAAAGTGTGAGTTTGAGTAATTGCGAAGCATTTGGTAGGTCATTTATGTATAGGAGAAAGAGAAGAGGGCCAAGGACACTTCCCTGTGGGACACCAACTGTAATTGGTTGAGCGGAAGAGCTTGCCCCATTTGCGTACACATATTGGCTTCTGTTGCTGAGGTGACTTGAGGTAGTTGAGGGAGTGCCCTCTAATACCATAGTGTGACAATTTTACGTGGAGCAAGTCATGGTCAACTGTATCAAAAGCTTTACGTCAGTCAATAAAGATCCCCAGTGGGACTTCTTTTTTTTCTATTGCAGTGTATATATGTTCTAGCATGTGTATAATAGCATCATTAGTATTTTTATTAGGCCTGAATCCAAATTGGCAGGGGTTGAGAATGTTTTGGGAGATGAGGTAGGAGTAGATTCGTTTATGAATGAAAGTAACCTGCCACTTCCATCAATCACTGGCACTCAGGCATAATATTAACCTACCAAATAAACACGTGCAATACTGAATTTTGCAAAAAGTAACTGGAAACTGTGCCTACACCACACAGTTGTACTGGATTAATCAAATCACAAAACAAGTGGGATTTAAACCCATGGCAAACAAGTCCTAAAACTCACAGGCCAGTGTGTTAAACACTGGCAGCTTCCTTGTCACAGGTTTGATCCCCATCCCTTCTATGATTTGTTTGTGACTGTGTAATCATGATTTTGAGTCAGTAAATAGAATGTTTTCTATTGTATTGTAAAATAAAAAATGACATGGGTCAGAAAGAAAAATCAGCACTCACACATTTTTTTTCATTCCTGCCAGTATAATGTTTAGATGAAAATAATTATAGAATGTACCCCCACACCACGGGAGTTAATGTACATAAAAATAAATAATTTTCTTTGATACCGTTAAAAAAAAAAAATACTCTGGGTAGGAGGAAAGGTCACTATCTGTCATGAAACAAGCAAAATACTACGAGCAATCCTAGTCTCCTTCCAGTCGTCTGATTGGCAGGAGAGATGGATGCTGCCTCATTTTCATCTAACGAATTAATGCAAAAATGTATTTAGCTGCAAATTATTTAAGGTGCCTGCACACCACAAATATTAAACAAATACATGTATAACCCAATTGTTTCCTTAAGTAAGGCACATTAATAGATAAAATAAAGAGATATTGTACACGAGGAGGGATCCAGCTGACTAAGATGCTGTTAATATAAATACATGTATGGTGCAGGACTCAATGATACACCATACACAGCGAGTGTCTGGGTTCGATTCCCAGCAAGGATAGAAATATTGGGAGTGTTTCCTTACACTGGTTGCCTATGTTCCCCATCAGTAAAATGGGTACCTGGGTGTTATTCGACTGGTGTGGGTCACATCCTGGGACAAAACTGACCTAATCTGCCCGAATTGGTCTGCATAACAATCAACTTTCTATACAGTAGTATGTCATTGATGTCAGCTAGGCCTGTATACCTTGTACATGTACTTGTAGAAATAAAGATATCATTATTATATTATATACTTATACAGTGGAACCTCAAAAATCGAACTTAATCCGTTCCAGGAGCTAGTTCTAAATTCAAAAAGTCTGAAATTCGAAGCAATATTTCCCATAAGAAATAATGGAAATACAATTAATCCGTTCCAGAAACCCAAAAATAATCACACGAAAAAAACATTTTATAGAGATTAATTACAGTTTTACACACAACAAATACTATAGTTTTTAATTATGTATAGTAATACATATAAAATAACATTTTTACTTACCTTATTGAAGATAAGGGAAGATAGGGAGGAGGAGAGAGGGAGTTGGGGTTAGTGTTTGGAAGGAGAATCCCCCTCCATGAGGACTTCAGGTAAAGCCCTCTCTGGGGTTACTTCCCTTCTCTGTCTTTTAATGCCACTAGGACCAGCTTGAGAGTCACTGGACCCCTGTCTCACAAAATAACTGTCCACAATCCTGTTTCTGGCGCCTCTTTAACATTTCCCTAAAATGGGACATGGTTCTGTCACTGAACTTGTTGCAAAGATGGCTTGTTTGAGCTTGCTCAGGGTGGTACTTCTGCACAAACATTTGGACATCATTCCACTTGGCACAAATCTCCTTAATCTTTGAAGAACGCACCTCATCCACTCCCTATATTAACACCTTTCACAACATCAGCTTCCTTGATTTGTTCTTTCTTGTTCCTCATCCTCATATCCGACATAGACAAGGATGTCAGCCACAGCACCGTGTCTTCCTTTGCAGATGACACCCGAATCTGCATGACAGTGTCTTCCATTGCAGACACTGCAAGGCTCCAGGCGGACATCAACCAAATCTTTCAGTGGGCTGCAGAAAACAATATGAAGTTCAACGATGAGAAATTTCAATTACTCAGATATGGTAAACATGAGGAAATTAAATCTTCATCAGAGTACAAAACAAATTCTGGCCACAAAATAGAGCGAAACACCAACGTCAAAGACCTGGGAGTGATTATGTCGGAGGATCTCACCTTCAAGGACCATAACATTGTATCAATCGCATCTGCTAGAAAAATGACAGGATGGATAATGAGAACCTTCAAAACTAGGAGGCCAAGCCCATGATGACACTCTTCAGGTCACTTGTTCTATCTAGGCTGGAATATTGCTGCACTCTAACAGCACCTTTCAAGGCAGGTGAAATTGCCGACCTAGAAAATGTACAGAGAACTTTCACGGCGCGCATAACGGAGATAAAACACCTCAATTACTGGGAGCGCTTGAGGTTTCTAAACCTGTATTCCCCGGAACGCAGGAGGGAGAGATACATGATTATATACACCTGGAAAATCCTAGAGGGACTAGTACCGAACTTGCACAGGAAAATCACTCACTGCGAAAGCAAAAGACTTGGCAGACGATGCACCATCCCCCCAATGAAAAGCAGGGGTGTCACTAGCACGTTAAGAGACCATACAATAAGTGTCAGGGGCCCGAGACTGTTCAACTGCCTCCCAGCACACATAAGGGGGATTACCAACAGACCCCTGGCAGTCTTCAAGCTGGCACTGGACAAGCACCTAAAGTCAGTTCCTGATCAGCCGGGCTGTGGCTCGTACGTTGGTTTGCGTGCAGCCAGCAGCAACAGCCTGGTTGATCAGGCGCTGATCCACCAGGAGGCCTGGTCACAGACCGGGCCGCGGGGGCGTTGACCCCCGAAACTCTCTCCAGGTAAACTCCAGGTAATAGAACCGATGGTCGACTTGTTTTTCCCATACATCCTGGCAAGCTCAACAAGTCTCACACCACTCTCATACTTCTGTATTATTTCCTTCTTCACATCTATGGTGTTTCTCACTTTCTTTACCACAGGGGTACCACTAGCAAGTTTCTTTGGGCCCATGGCAGCTTATTTCACAGTCCCACAAGCACTAAACACAACGAAATAATCGTAAAATGAGTGAATGAGAGCGCAGGTTAGTGTTCACTCAAGCATAAACAAAGCTAGACTGCTCATGGCGCCTGCGCGTGGACCCAGACACACCGGGTGGCAGACAGGTCCCGTACCTGGCAGTCCAAAAATAGGGGCGCGTTCGATAATAGGAACACAATTTGTCCGAAAAAATGGTCCTATTTTCGAAATGTTCAATATGCGATACGTTCGATTTCCGAGGTTCCACTGTATATACAGTGGACCCCCGCATAACAATTACCTCCGAATGCGACCAATTATGTAAGTGTATTTATGTAAGTGCGTTTGTACGTGTATGTTTGGGGGTCTGAAATGGACTAATCTACTTCACAATATTTCTTATGGGAACAAATTCGGTCAGTACTGGCACCTGAACATACTTCTGGAGTGAAAAAATATCATTAACCGGGGGTCCACTGTACTTCCAGCAAGCGTGCGTGAGCATGTCAGATAGGAGTGAATGGAGACAAATGGTATTTGGGACCTGACGAGCTGTTGGAGTGTGAGCAGGGTAATATTTAGTGAAGGGATTCAGGGAAACTGGTTATTTTTATATAGCCAGACTCGAGTCCTGGAAATGGGAAGTACAATGCCTGCACTTTAAAGGAGGGGTTTGGGATATTGGCAGTTTGGAGGGATATGTTGTGTATCTTTATACATATATGCTTCTAAACTGTTGTATTCTGAGCACCTATGCAAAAACAGTGATTATGTGTGAGTGAGGTGAAAGTGTTGAATGATGATGAAAGTATTTTCTTTTTGGGGATTTTCTTTATTTTTGGGTCACCCTGCCTCGGTGGGAGACAGCCAACTTGTTAAAAAAAAAAAAAACTCATAGAACATTAACTACCCATTCAAACTCGGCTAATACTGCAAAAGTGTATAGTATAATCCTAATGCAAAAAACAGTTTCAACATTTCCACAATTCTGTAACACAGGATTAAGTGAAACTGAAATTTCTGGAAAAACCAAAACATGAATTTAATACCCAGACTTTACAAAATAGTACATAAGGTGCCAAACTTACAAACACCATGGTACAAACACCTGCACATACAAATGCAGTAGGTACTAATTAATATTTATAACCGACTATATAGGAGCAAGGGGCTAGTAACCCCTTCTCCTGTATATATTACTAAAGTTAAAATGAGAAACTTTTGTTTTCCTTTTGGGCCACCCTGCTTTGGTGGGATATGGCCAATTTGTTGGAAGAAGAATTGCCAATATGTATTATGAACAAGTGAAACATAACCATTGTTTGCACTATTGCTTTCTCTAAAACTACTCACATTTCAAATGAAACACAGAAACAACTTGTGTGCGAGTCGAGGTCCTCTTGTATGCATGGTCGCATATGCCACGTGAAAAAACAACTGAAATTATTCCCAACAAACTTCATGTCGCTTCACTTTTTCTTACATCACTACTGGGCCAGAATAGTCATTAATTCAACAAATGAATATAATGTACAGAATTTCCATTTTAATTTTGTCAAAATATAGACTATAATGAAGCTAGAAATCATGATCTCTCTCACCTGTATATTCTTGAGTAGCATCAAGAGGATCAATCCACACTTTAACATCTTTAACAGGTACGATGATGTCATCAGTGATAACACTATTCACTTCATAGTTGTATTGTGCAGCTGGTGGCACAGACGAGGATTCCAAATTGCTGGAATCAAGCTCCTCAGATATAATCTAGAAAGACAAAAATTTCTCCAGTTTCTTATCAAAACCAAGGAAGGCAATAATAAAGGTAAAATAGAAGAACAAAGAACAGCATACGGGAGGGCCCTGGTTATATAGCAGGTTAGGTTCCAGGTTACTACTATAAAACGAAAATCACTGTAAAATGAAATACATATAGCCTTTTTTCACTTTTAAAAATACATACAAAAGCCTGATAACATGTTTACACTATCATATATTAAGTGAGCAATAGAGCTAGGCCTAAAAAATGCATATACAGTATGCACATTACTTGCCTTAAAATATTTTCGTACTTAGCTTATAGTGAGTGGTGAATATATTTATTGCAGGAAGCCTGAATATATGAAGAATGGGTATGAGTAATTGAAAACCATTGTATTAGCAATACGCTGTAAACAAAGTGCTGTAAAGCAAACTGCTGTAAAACAGGGACTGCATAAGCCACTTTCCTTAGCAAGTAGATAAGAAAATACAGAATATTACAAAAGATCATCTTTTCTGCTTGCAATGAGAGTACAGTACAATAAAATATTACACAAGACTATAAAACTCATGCAAAAAGTGCATCAGCTGGTAGCAGTGGCAGCAGCAGCAGCAAGAGCGAGAGTAGTAGTAGTGGTGGTGGTGATATTTATAAAGCACTTTCACCGCTACATCATCTAGTAATGTTCTAAATAATTAATTTAATGTAAAGGCTTTGAGAGCTAAGGGATGAGTATCCAGCAAGCTTATCTGGGGTATTTGATCAAAATGAACGGAGGTAAGTGGTTTTAATGGCTTAGCATGCTGTTTGAGTGTGAGCAAAGTACCATTCAGAAGGATTCAGAAAAAATGCTTAGCCAAACTTGAATCCTGGATGTGGAAAGTATAGTGCTTGCATTCCAATGGAGGGGTGGGGATTTTACAGACCAGAGGGTTATTTGAATTGCAATGTCTGCACAATTCTGGCAAAACGGCTAATTTGAGTAACACAGGAACTTATCAACAGTTCAAAGGGGATGTAGGACATTAACTTCAAGCTGGTTTGTGGTTAGATCATTATGCAGACATGAAGGCTTTGCTACCCTTGAATAAAGTGTTACAGTTAAGCTACTTAATAATCAAACTGCACTTTGCAAAGCAAGAAATTTTTCACAAAATCATTCATTAACCTGGTTAAAATCTGTGTTTAAACATTTCTATAAGGCCAAACTTCAATTTTGGAAGTTGGGAAGTATGTACTATATACGGTGCTGACATTTGGAGAGTGGAATGGGAAAGTTGAGATTTGATGGGCCGCAATGGTCACAATGGACCACAATGTCGTGACCTTTGTCACGGGACACTACAGAGCAAGTCATAATGAGCATGTTTTCTTCGAGTCACTCTGCTTTTGTGAGAAACAGGCAATGAATTAAGCAAATTTAAAAATTACATACAATATTACTAAATAAGACTGCATAATAATTCTTTCTTTCAACACACCGGCCGTATCCCACAGAGGCGGGGTGGCCCAAAAGGAAAAACGAAAGTTTCTCCTTTTACATTTAGTAATATGTACAGGAGAAGAGGTTACTAGCCCCTTGCTCCCGGCATTTTAGTCGCCTCCTACAACACGCATGGCTTACGGAGGAAGAATTCTGTTCCACTTCCCCATGGAGGTAAGAGAAAATAAACAAGAACAAGAACTAGTAAGAAAACAGAAGAAAACCCAGAGGGGTGTGTACATATATGCTTGTACGTGTATGTGTAGTGTGACCTAAGTGTAAGTAGAAGTAGCAAGACGTACCTGAAACCTTGCATGTTTATGAGACAGAAAAATGGACACCAGCAATCCTACCATCACGTAAAACAATTACAGGCTTTCGTTTTACATTCACTTGACAGGACGGTAGTACTGCATCCCCACCGCAATACTTGAACTGCAAGGATGACCACCATACTCTTGCCACCAGGTGCCCTATCAGAAGGGACATACTCAAGAAACAACAGCAACAAAAGAAGTCCACACCACAAGCACCCACATATTCTGCTATTGCCAAGATTCAAGCAGACACTACCAAGATACTACAAGCCACGCAAGCTGCTCCTACTACGTTCCTCACAGCACCTGCTGCCGATCCCACCAAGATTCTATGTTGCATCATGTATGCTCATGTACATAATGCAGCTGAGCCTGGCTCCTTCAACACCACCATCAACGAAGTATTCAAACTAAACCACATGCCTGAACTCACATTCCCTGCATCACCATCTTCCAGTGAGATCCTACAAACCACTGCAAATATTGCCAGCATAACTGCTGTTCCACCACTGACACAACCTCCACTTGACAGAGATGGACCAATCTGAGACCACTGATACGTCGGCAAATCCCACCAATGAGAGTCCACCACCACCTGCCTCCACCGCAACTATCCAAGCCGAGGCCTTGCCTCGGACACTTCAACCGCCAGCCAAGAAAGCTAAAACTCAAGAACCAAGGGCTGCATCTCCCCATACCGCTACTACTGCTCCACCACAACAAAGAGCCAAGGTCAAGACTGCCAAAACTCAAGAACCAAGAGCTGCAGCTCCCCAGGCCACCACCAATCCCCCACGGCAACAAGAAGCCAAGGGCAAGAGTGATGGACACTGCACAACCAACCAGAAGAAGAACCCAATGCGAACTCCAGAATGTGAGCAAGACATCAACGACATTGTGTCACCCAACTTGGAACACTTTGCCAACCATATCTACACAATCCTCAGCAACGCTGGAATCGACCACGAAGCACTGAGGAACAGGCTGAATCATATTGGTGCAGAGGGTACCCCCTCTAGCACTACCATCAAGACAAGTTTCCCCAGCACTTTGCTGTCTGCTAAAGCTGGGATGTGGCTCCAATGGGACCCTGTTTTCTGCCTCTGCCCAACTGTGACATTGAAGATCCCAAGAGAGAAGACACTCCCCACTGGGGGAGTCAATGCAAGATAGAAGAAGTTACCCTCCAACCGGAGGGCCCAAGAGAGAAGATAGAAGAATGAAGAAGACGAACGACACCCCCGCCCCGGGGGCCACCACCGGGTCACCATCTGGAGAAGACCCGGGCCGGAAATACCGGCAGATTTCTAACTAACCTCCCTGGGCGGTTGCTGTTTACCAACCTACTACCTAGGTGTATAATAATTATTGTTATATAAATATTCAAATATTAACTAACATCATACATGGTAAGAGTTAGGTTCTACAATTAGTGTGCACAATGCTAATCTTTTTTCTCATATACATGTATTATATATCAAGCCAATGTTTCTCAAACAGTGGGCCATTGCCTCCAAACAATTTCTATAAAGTGGAGTACAATATTTTATACAATTAGGGTTATGGACATGTATAAACTACTTATAGAAAGCTCCTTATTCTGCATGGCTACGATGGGAATAAACCTTAAATGACTGGTTGGTTGTCTGATATTAGACCTCCATCTAGAAATTGATACCTAAAATTCAGGGCAATGGAACAAATTATTTTAAGCTACTCCATACCTCCACTTCTGGAAAAATCTTTTTTAGGGAGTAGAACATGGTCAAGTGGGATTTGATGTCACCATCAGTAACTGGATCATTTGCTCCCTCCTTGGTTTTGCCCTTGCTTTTCACGTGTAAGTCAGCTGTTTCACGAATATCATATACCTGCAATAAAACACAGTAATAAGATATTCTTGGAACAAAAGTTTTAGATTTTACAGAGTTACATATGGAAAAGGAAAGATAAGAGGAAGTGAGCAGAAATTACCGATAGTATTACAGTACAGCAGACACAGTACAGGAATGTAATGGATGCTGAGATATCAGGAAAAAATGCTTCTGAATTCAAATCATTATGGTCAAAATGCAACATGGGGCAAAGCAGAAGTACAAACCAAATAAGTCACAGATGAGAGATCTCTACAGGTTTAGTGCTTTCCCATAAACCTAATAAGAAGTAAATAAAACAATAGTAGTACCATCAGGTGGTATAAAAATATGGAGCAGTTGCAGGTGGAAGAATCAATAGACTATATAGTCATGGATAAGATAGCTGCATATATTGCTTCAAAAGGATTTTATCATGAATAAAAATATAACAAGATTATTAGGAATATATCAAAAGTAAATATGAACGAAAGTAGGAAAATTAACCCTTAAACTGTCCAAACGTAGATCTATGTTCACTCGTGTAAAGCTCCGAATGTAGATCTATGTTTGATTTTACATGCTTTCGTGTAAAAAAAAAAAGTAGAGCTACGTTCGGAGCACTATGCGAGTGAACATAGCTCTACGTTTGGACAGTTTAAGGGTTAAAAAAAGATGCCCCCTGATCAGCCAATAATACTTTAATTAAAAAAAAAAAAAAAAAAAAAAAAAATAGTATATGAAATAACAGTAGAAATATTAACCAACAGTGGTGACATGACATACTACTTTTTTCTACCTCACTGGCCATCTCCCACCAAGGTTGGGTGACCCATAAAATGAAATACATTAAGAACAAAAAGGCACAATACTGTGACTGGAACAATATACAAATAATGTGCACAAAGGAGAGAGATGCTTATGACAATATTTTGGTCAAACTTGTACCATTTACAAAGTTGTAGGTTTCTCTCCTATGTGCAGGTTATTTGTGTAATGAAATACATTCATCACTTAATCCAATCTCTAGCTTGTTAAAAGTGTGCTGACAACACAATTTAGATGACCCTCCAACTGCAACATCTCCACCCATCCTAGTCAGTGCAGGCACTGCCCTTTCCACATCAAGGGCTCAAGTCCTGCTAACAGATTTTCCCAAACCCCTTCATAAAAGATACCTTGCTCATACTAACAATAGATCAAGCATTAAAACATACTTAAGAACATAAGAATCTAGGAATGCCACAGCAGGCTTACTGGCCCATACTAGGCAGGTCCTTCTCAGAACCAGCCATTCCTATGCACCTAACTGTCTAACCTTTTCCCAAATCCACCCTGAAAGTGGCATCAATATTTTAGGTACTAATCAAACCAAACCCTTCCCATTCATATACTGTCTAACCTCATTTTAAAGCTACCCCAGGTTTTAGTTTTCATGGCTACTTGGAAGATTGTTCCACTCATTAATCACTCTGTTTGAAAACCAGTACTTTCCTACTTCCTGTCTATATTTAAATTTATCTAATTTAACCCTTTCAGGGTCCATGCTGTAGATCTACGGCTATATGCTGAGGGTCCAAACCATAGATCTACGCCATGAGCTCAGCTCACTCTGATAAGCTGTGAGCGGTAAATTTGGGCTTAGATATGATAGAATACATCTATGTGGTATGTGTGCACCACATAAAACAAATCCTGCAGCACACAGTGCATAATGAGAGAAAACAACAAACCATAATTTTCGATTAAAACAGTGACTTTGCAGTGTTTTTTTGTATGTTTCATATAGTTGTATTTGCGATTTCTTTGTCTCGTTTGATAGAATGGAAGATATATTACAGAAATGGAATGATTTTGACTGGTTTTAGTAATGGAAATGGGTTGAAACCGAGCTCAAAATAGCAGAAATGTTCAATTTTTGCCAATGTTCAAGAATAAACAAATGATCCCACACGTCTAATACACGCCAGCTGGTGGGTCTAATATACGTTCACAAATGTGGTGATATTATTTATACAATTATTACAGTATTACACAACAGTAAATCTTCTATTTTTTGGTTTGAATAAAAATTCATTATGTGAATAAAAAATCAAAATGGAATTCATTTGTAAAGCCTGAAAACGTAACTAATGAACAGAGGAAATGTTAGTTTAGTTCCAGGAATGCCTGCATTGTTTATTCTGGACCCTATTTTGAAATTAGAATATTTAGAACTTTGCATTAAATTGGCCAAATTACCAATTTCTGATCACTTTATTTTGTGGTTGAAACAGTTGCCTTGGCAATTTCTTGTGCTCAATCGATAGAATAGGAGTAATACTAGTGAAACAGCTAAGAATTTGGTTGACTGGAACAATGTAACTGGCCTAAAATGGGAGTCAAAGTCGGCAAAATCGCCGATGCGTAAATATCGCCGACACATCAACATTTGCAAGAGCATAATTTTGTCAATTTTCCATCAAATTTCGTACTTTTTTTTTATTATCTTCAGAAAAAGATTCTCTACCTTTCATAAAAAAAATAACAAAATTTTTTTTTGAAAATTCTTGGACCCTGGTGTGCACTTCGAAATTTGGCCTCTGGACCATGAAAGGGTAAAATCCATTATTTCTAGTTATTATTTGATTTGATATCCTCGGTACTCTATTTATATCGCCTTTGTTTATGCCAGTCTTCCACTTATAAAATTCAATGATATTATTCATCATTTTGTCTCTCAAGAGAGTAAAGGTTTAAGGCTCTCAATCTATTTTTGTATGATCTAACACATTTCCACAAGTATGCTGGAAGCTCGAGCCCCTAACACTGAAAACCTTTTGTCTCTCCTTCCAGCCATTCCTGGGACAACTAACTCTCCTACCCTTGATTTATTTACTGTCTTTGTTATCCTATCCCACCATCCTTTTCAGTCTTTAAATTATACCTTTGGTAACCCCACACTGTCTTCTAATTTCGATGCTCCAAATTTTCCACATAATATTTATGCCACACACTGCTCTCAGACATGACATCAGGGCTTTTCCTTGTAGTACCCTAACATGAATGCAAGACAATCCTAGTCATACAAATGTATCTTCTTGGAAAATAAATATTTTATTTAATTTCATTTTACTTCATACATTATTCTAAAGGGTATTTATATAATTTAATACATGTATACATAACCAACAACAGGATAGGAATATCAAGCAAGAAAATGCAAGTCTTTTTGTCTTCTTTCCTGAATGCCAATCAAACTCTGATTATGCTTAAAATCCTTAATAAAAACAAAACCTCCCAGAATACCCTCCAGGTAGGTAGGTAGGTAGATCTTTTAGATTAGAAACAAACAGACGCGATTAAATACACAAGTAACCCGTACATAGGAAAAGGAATCTTACAACGTTTTGGTCCGAATTGGACCACTGACTAGTCCCATTATTAACACACAAAGGAGAGGAAGCCAGTGTATATATAGGAGAGGAGGGCAGGGATAGGACAAAGAAAGCAAGAAAGAAGTGGAGAGGTTGTGGTAGAGGTAATGCTGGTAGTGGGAATAGTAGTGTAGTAAAAAGAGGGAAGTAGTGTAAGTGGCACAAGAAACAGAAAGGGAAGTGAAGCAAGTCAATAGTAGTATAGTAGTAGTGGCAGAGTAGTAGAATAGTGGTAGCAGCAGAAGCAGAAGAGGAGAAAATCAAAAGAAAAAAAAATGGAGCATTGCAGGAGAGTTAATAGTCCCTGAGGGTGGGACCAAAAACACAGGGAAAATGAAGAACAGAACACACAGAGGCAGAAAAAAGGAAAAGAGAAAATATATGAAATGAGAAGAGAAGAAATGATTAGGTAAAGTCTCAAGTGTTCTGAAGTTTGGAACATTTGACAATGAAATGAGAAAGGAAGGCATCTACAGAGACAAAGCCAGACATCAGAAGTAAATCAGGCAAGCTTTGAAGAATTAAAAAATTATAATATTATATAGAAGTAATCATACATGCAAAAAATTTAAATTTTATGATGACAACCTAGAATATGTCTATAATTTCACAAAAAGCTTTAAACCTAAAGTGATAAAGCATTTTTTATTATTATTATTATTATATAAAGAAAGAAGTGCTAAACCACTATGGGTCATAGTGATGATGGAATCACACAAGTGAAAAGAAAATTCACTTACTATTTTACCACCTCGCTGAGCAGAGTCTATGGCAGCTGAGAGCAGGTTCTTCAGGCTCACCATCGATGATTTCCTGGTCAGGCTCGATGAATGTCCATACCTGTACATCATGATCACCATGACCACAGTGGCCATGATGATGCCCACACCAAATTTATTTATGCGTATCGTGGCTCCCAGGTTCATCTTTGAAGAATGTGAGGCATCTGAAAGGACTGACATTGCCTTCAATTTTGGCATTACTCCCATTTCTCAAATCTAAAATATAACCAATTCTCGCACGAAAAACAGTGTCAGAAAACTCCTATATTCAGAATTTTCTAAGGGAAAAAGTAGAGATAAAATATGAGAATAATTATAATCCCTGTTACAAAGGGCTCGCTAAGAAATATATGATAATATGTGATTGCAGAAATGAATGAACACCACGGGAATTTTTTGTGAAATAAAATTTGACTTGACTTCAACAATGATAGCAGTTATAACTAATAAAAGCCAGCACTCGTGCCACATATAATGCCAACGTGGTGTTCTAGAGTGAGCGTGAGGGAGCACAACACCTGCTAACAACACCTGTTACACGTACACACACACACACGTACTAACACCTGCCACACATGCACATGTACTCACCAAAAAAGATATTACGTCACATTGTTAGACTTTACTGGGCTGTCCAAGGCTCATGTCTCCGCAATTTACAATACAAAACCATCGTGAAAGTTTAAAATTATGTATGAGAGGCCAAAATAAGGACTTAATTACTGACCATAAAAAAACTGTGTTGTTGTAGACGTCAGCTGATGACAGGTGCTGCTGATGTTTTCCTCCCAGGATGAACAACGTTAACTCAGTATGTTTGTTTATTTAGATACAGTTAGTTATGTAGATACATTATTATTATTATAATAAAAAAAGAAGCGCTAAGCCACAAGGACTATACAGCTATGTAGATACAATTACAACTTATTAAGATACAATTAATTTATTTAGATACAATTAGTTTATTTAGATGCAACTACAGTTTATTTAGATACAATTACAGTTCATTTAGACACAATTTCAATTTAGATACAATTGCAGTTTATTTAGATACAATAACAGTTTATTTAGATACAGTTACGGTTTATTTAGATGCAATTAATTTATTTAGATACAATTACGATTTATATAGATTATATAGATACAACTGCAGTTTATGTACTTACAATTTAAACAATTGCAGTTTATTAAGATACAGTTAGATAAGATAAGATAAGATTTCGTTGGGATTTTTAACCCCGGAGGGTTAGCCACCCAGGATAACCCAAGAAAGTCAGTGCGTCATCGAGGACTGTCTAACTTATTTCCATTGGGGTCCTTAATCTTGTCCCCCAGGATGCGACCCACACCAGTCGACTAACACCCAGGTACCTATTTGCTGCTAGGTGAACAGGACAACAGGTGTAAGGAAACGTGTCGAATGTTTCCACCCGCCGGGAATCGAACCCGGGCCCTCCGTGTGTTACAGTTTACAGTTTATATAGATAGAATTACAGTTTATTTAGATGCAACTACAGTTTATTTAGATAAAATTAGTTTATAGAGATACAATCACGCAATTTTAAGATGAATTACAGCTGTCTTATAGAACCATATGTGTAAAATTCGCTAGGACCATCTACTCTCCCCCAAAAGTTCAAGTAAGTGACATCAGTAATTCTATATTTCTAGATTATAAAATGCGCATCATTGGCTCTAATATAAATTACTTATCAATGATTTGTAGTTGCCTAAAATTATATGGAGTAACTAGAATTAAGCACTAGTACTGTATATAAGTTCTAGGAATGGTTTGCCACATTATTAGTGGCTCTATTTTAACCTTCACTGACACTATGTATTATTTATTCACTATTATTTACAATAAATCAAACCTTATTATGTCAAGTATTGTTTGTCTAAATTCGGTATTTAAACTTCGTCTATTTTTCTAAGTGTATTTTTGAGTAATAATGTTCATGGTCGTTGTTTATACTAGGAATCAAACTCATTGATGCGTTCCATATTGATGTTTTGGTTGACGTTACGATATATCAGTTATGTATATTTTTAGTTTTACAAACTGATAAAGAGAAGTTATGGCAATAAAGATTGCTATTCTCAAATATTATCTTTATAGCCTTTTATTTCCAACTTGCAGGTAAATAAAAAATATTTTATATACAGATGGACAGGTTAATGTACAAATTCAAAGTTTATTCTCTATAAGGATTACAATGCTGAGTTTACAGAATTTGGTTATTGTGTGGTTTACATGTAGTTAAATAATGATTACAGAGTGTACCACTAGAACACCTAGCATGGCTAGGCATTTCGGGCAGGATATTTTTTTTTAATTCGCTTCGTCCTTTCAAAACACACAAATTTTCCTCATTAACATTACTAAGAATTAATATCTGCTTCTATTTAAGGCACCCCCGACTTGCCTAGGATAAATCTGAACCAGCTGTAGCCAGTATATGGACACACCTGCAGAATATTAATGGCTTAATTCGTCCGGTGATCGAACCTGAAGCCACTAGGAATTTTTATTGACCTAAGAAAAGCTTTTGACACAGTAGACCACGACATCCTACTCCACAAACTTGATCACTACGGTATAAGAGGCCATACGCTTGCTTATTTCAAATCTTACGTTACTAATAGGTATCAGTACGTCACCATTAAAGACACAGCATCAGCAACACGGCCACTTGATACTGGAGTTCCGCAGGTAAGTGTCCTTGGTCCCCTGCTCTTCCTCATATACATCAATGACCTTCCAAACGTATCCCAACACCTGAAACCCATTCTCTTTGCTGATGACACGACTTATGTCATCTCTCACCCTAATCTTGCCACCCTCAACACCATTGTGAATGAGGAGCTGATTAAAATATCGACTTGGATGACAGCCAATAAACTTACGCTTAACACTGACAAAACCTACTATATTATGTTTGGTAGCAGAGCAGGAGATGCACAAATTAACATTAAGATTGACAACACTCTAATTACCAGAAATAATGGGGGAAAATTCCTAGGCTTATACCTTGACAACAACCTGAATTTCAGCACCCATATCCAGCATATAGCCAAAAAAGTATCCAAAACGGTTGGGATCCTCTCCAAGATACGATACTACGTGCCGCAAAATGCCCTTCTCACACTATACCACTCACTTATTTATCCATACCTCACCTATGCTATTTGTGCTTGGGGATCAACTGCAGCAACACACCTAAAGCCAATAATAACACAACAAAAAGCTGCAGTAAGAATAATCACTAAATCCCATCCCTGGCAACACACCCCCCCACTCTTCATAGATCTAAACTTACTCCCAGTTCAGTACATCCACACTTACTACTGTGCAATCTACATCTACAGGGCCTTAAACTCTAATATCAACCTTGACCTAAAACGCTTTCTTGATAGTTGTGACAGAACCCACAGGCATAACCCACAAACATCTCTACGACATTCCCCGTGTCCGACTAAACCTTTACAAAAATTCAATGTATGTCAAAGGCCCTAAAATCTGGAATACCCTACCTGAGAACTCTAGAACTGCAGACACATTCATCACCTTCAAAACTACCATTAGAAAACATCTTATCTCCCTGATACACCCCGTCAACTAACTACACGAATACCACCTGGTGGTTCACACTTACACTCACTCACTCATTTGACCATAAACAGAAATATTAATCTCAGTCTTAAAATAATGAATCCTGTGATACTCCAATACTGAAACTATGTACTGTGCCAAAACAAAAGCATTCATATTGCTAAACTCACAAACTAGTATTTAGTCACTTAGCCATAATACCATCTTACCTCATAATTTGTAATATTTTACAATTAAGAATAAAACTAAGTATGCCCGAAATGCCTAGCCATGCTAAGCGTTCTAGTGGTACACTCTGTAATCACAATTTTACTACATGTAAACCAAACAACCGAATTTCTGTAAACTCAGCATTGTAATCCTTATAGAGAATAAACTTTGAATTTGAATTTCAGTTGTGAACCTCTCACCACCTTTCTGTTTTATGTGTGAGACTACTCCATCATGGTTCAAGCAGTAGCGCCTTCGGCTTCACAACTGGAAGAAATGATTTAGAACCCAGGAGCTAGCAGTCAGTAGGTACCTGGGTGTTGCCTCTGTTCAGCTAGCAGTCAGTAGGTACCTGGGTGTTGCCTCTGTTCAGCTAGCAGTCAGTAGGTACCTGGGTGTTGCCTCTGTTCAGCTAGCAGTCAGTAGGTACCTGGGTGTTGCCTCTGTTCAGCTAGCAGTCAGTAGGTACCTGGGTGTTGCCTCTTCAGCTAGCAGTCAGTAGGTACCTGGGTGTTGCCTCTGTTCAGCTAGCAGTCAGTAGGTACCTGGGTGTTGCCTCTGTTCAGCTAGCAGTCAGTAGATACCTGGGTGTTGCCTCTGTTCAGCTAGCAGTCAGTAGGTACCTGGGTGTTGCCTCTGTTCAGCTAGCAGTCAGTAGGTACCTGGGTGTTGCCTCTGTTCAGCTAGCAGTCAGTAGATACCTGGGTGTTGCCTCTGTTCAGCTAGCAGTCAGTAGATACCTGGGTGTTGCCTCTGTTCACCTAGCAGTCAGTAGGTACCTGGGTGTTGCCTCTGTTCAGCTAGCAGTCAGTAGATACCTGGGTGTTGCCTCTGTTCAGCTAGCAGTCAGTAGGTACCTGGGTGTTGCCTCTGTTCAGCTAGCAGTCAGTAGATACCTGGGTGTTGCCTTTGTTCAGCTAGCAGTCACTAGGTACCAGGATGCTGCCTCTGTTCATCTAGCAGTCCGTAGGTACCTGGGGGGTTGCCTCTTCAGCTAGCAGTCAGTAGGTACCTAGCTATTAGCAGATTGTTGTGGGTGGCACCCTGGGGTAAGAAGACTAAGATACTACAGTGGAAACATGTCACATTATTTGACTATTAGGTTATCCAAAGTTAATTGTATACAATGTTAATTTTTTTTGTGCCCATAACATCTATGGACCCTCAAGACCTTTTTAATTTATGTGCTGAACATGTAAATTAATACCTACTGACTAATACAGCCGTTATACAAATGTGTAATACACCCCGGAACATCCTTTGTAGGAAACCTAAATAAATTTAAATGTATATACTCTGATTTTTTAAACCAAAATAATCTCTCCGACAATAATCCGTATTCAAAGTATAGAATTTAAAATCCGTATTTGAAGAATGAGATATTTGTGAAACATTTGAGAAACTGTGTTGAGGAAACGTTTCTCCAGTCCAATACAGAGAAGAAGAATGAGGCAGTCAGTCTCTCAGTCTGGAGTCAACGTGTTCAGACTATCAATCCCCTCAAGGAAGGTTCCTTGATGTTGGTGAGGGGCTCTTGATTTAGGGAATTGGATCTGTGCTCCAGTTCCCCGAATTAAGCCTGAATGCCTTCCACATCCCCCCCCAGGCGCTGTATAATCCTCCGGGTTTAGCGCTTCCCCCTTGATTATAATAATAATAATAATAATCAGTCTATCAATCTTGAGATGTGATACTTTCTCAAGATTGATAGACTGAACACATCGACTCCATGTTGAGGGACAGACTACC